AATTTGCTGATAATTTTCTTCTTAAAATTATGATATTAATTTAATTCTTTTAGAAAATCTTTTATAGTAATGTAAGAAATAATACAATATAAAAGTTATCAATATATATTATGCAACATTAGTTTTTGTGGGCTGACAGATAATTGAATTGCTTATGAAACGCATCAAACGGCGTTGAAATTGTGATTCCTTCCATTTGAGTTGTCCCAAGGGGACAGAAAAAAAGAATTCTCGGGAACAAGAAAAGGGTGAGAAGTCTCAGCATCCCGAATTCCCGGCCAATGAGTGCATTTCATTTAATTTAGGCCGAGCTGGAATTGCATATTTTTCGCGCCATCTAGCACAGGAGGGAGAATTTCTTTCATTCCCCTGCTTTGTTTCTGCAGCACAATAATTGTCACATTACTCTGCTACATTTCCACTCTGCTGACTTTATTTTCTCGGCGCTGCTTTTTTCGATTCGCGTCATTTCTTTTCTTTTCTCGGGAGCAGGGTGAACGCGAGAGCTAAAAGCAGGCAGGGGCTGCGGAACGACGGGGTGTGCTCTTTGAGCCCCGACTGCCTGTCAAGTTGGCTCAACTATGACAGGCCTGCCCGGTTGTGTTTTTATTTCGCAAACCGCACTCGCTTGCTCTCTCTCTCCAGCACCCACACACATGCGGATGAAAGGGAGGAGAGGAGCCGCTCTCTTTTATTAATTAAAAACAAAGGGCTCGCGCATCAAGCGCGGCGGCACGCAATTATAAATTAAAACGCTCAAATTGGCCGGCAAACCGCGCCCATTGACTCCAATTTGCTTTTTCACCGCTCTAATTGCGAAAGTATTGCAGCGGGAAGGGTGCGAATTAAACGCTGTGAAAAAGGGTCTGTTTCCGCTCAAAAGCTGAAAAGTCTTTGCAAGGGGGACGAGCGAGAGATGACGCAGAAAAGTTAATGCGTATGATGATTTGAAAACTGAAAATGGGCATCTGTGTGAATAGAATGGAGACACGGGGGGTCTCTTGAGTGCAGAAGTGTTTATGCGAATGAATTTCAAGTGTGTCACTTATCTCAAATGAAAAGGCGGCTTGAAACGTAAAACTCAGTCAACACTATTTAAAAATAGCATTTTTTTATTACGCCTTTTAACCCTTCCCTTTTGTATTTTAAAAATGCAATTTAATTTAATTATAAAAAAGCAGAGTCTGTTTTAACTATCCATAGTTTTTTTTCAATGTATCTGAAAGGAGAATAATTTAATGCGAATAGCACTATAAAAATAAGAAGTAATATAACATTAGTTATATTGGATCTAATGTAAATAAACTTCTTGAGAAATTGAAAATTCGCAATGGAAGTTATTAATTAATGTGATATTTAACTCATTCTCCACGATATATAAGCCAGCTCTGGAAATTTAAAAATGCGGGCATATTTGAAAATAAATATTATAAAATGTGTGTTGCATTTTGAACAAAATTAAGCTCAGCGATTAAAAATTATGGTGTAACAAAAATATAACTTTACTGCTTCAATAGATTGTAAATTGTAACGTAACTAAATTTGACCTCAATTTTCCTTAAGGTCTAGATAATATTATTTCTGGAAAAATTATGTGCTCCATTTTCAACCTACAATGAAAGATTGCAGTCGATAATCCAATATTGATTTTGGGAAGTTTCAAACAAAGGCGTGGGCAAAAGGGTACAAATGTATGTATTTCTGTCGAGAGTTACTGGGAAAGGGACAAAGTTACAAAGCCGGAGAGCGATGAGATGGCTTAATATTTTAAGTACATTCGGCCGGCCGAGTTAGTTTCTTCGCCGGCGTAATGACATCATCATGTTCGTCACGATTTAGCAAAGTTTGCCCGCCAAAGCGACCTAATGGTGTGTACCTAAGGAAGCGCCGGCGAAAGAGAAAGAGAGGAAGTAGCGCAGGTCGACGAAGCTCCTTCACTTCATTCGTCTCGGTTTAAAAATCAAATAAAGTTGCATTTATGTATGAGGTATATACGCTGCTCTCGTCGGCTCGTTAGGGAGGGGCATTCATCTTGCTCGTCGGCGAAGGCAAGGCAGGGAGCAAAGGCGCGTGAGATGATCAAAAACCACCGCCACTCGAAGCGAGAGAGAGCAGACAGCCCCGAGAGCGAGAGAGAACAATTTCATATCATTTTCCGCGCTTTTCCTCGCTCTCCCGGAGAAGAAATGTTTTCCAGCGGCAGCTTTTTAATAAGAGGCAAACAATATTTCATAATGAAACATATTTTACAAGTGAAATTCTTTTTATATTAAAAATGAAATAAAATATTATGGAAATTTTTTCATTCAGGAGATAATTTCTATTTTACACTTAAAACACATTTTGAGCAAAAGTAATGCGTTTTTTTTTCTTAGAGTTTAAATTTTAAATGAAAGATTGAATTTATTTACAAGATTCTGAACTCCGTAAATAAAATATACTCAAATATTTTCAGATAACATTTTTATGTATTATATATTATTCAAAAATTAAATTAATGCAGTTTTTTTTTCTTTTGCATTTTAATCCATTCTAAAACCACATTTTTTTCTCAGAGATCTAATAATCCAAGCAAAATTTAATTTAAAAAAAATCTTATTATATTTTTTGGGGAAAAGTGTATTTGTAACAATAGATCTTCATATCTGACGTTTGAAAAATGTTGTCATTTTGCCGCAGCCGCAGGAGCATTCTTTCGTCGCCAGTAATGAAATTCAGTCGTCGCCGTTCATTTCCGAGCGAGAGACATTTAAATCAAGGGATTTATTTCGTCTCGTCAAGAGTGCAGTTTTATGCACAGAGATTTCCAGCCCAAGGGGGAGCATCATCGCAGCTTTTTTGTATTCGTCTCGCGGAGGGTGACACTTTTGATCTCAATTGTCAGCCGAACGCGGCTGCCAGCAGGGCCAGAATTGATGGAGGAAAAATGATTTGCTGTCTCAATAACACGAGTCAAAAGGAGGCTCTCGGAGTCGAGAGCCAAAAAACCTTTCTTGTAATTCGAGCAGAGACAAACATCAGAGCTTCTCTTCGTTCGAGAGTGCGGAGGCTGGAAATGACGCAGACGATCAAATCGCGCGTCCTTTTTACTTTGGCGCAGAGATATTTTTAAAGAGGTGACGAGACGCGCCTCCCGATTGATTTCAGTCAAACGACAAGAACAAATGCTGCGAAGATGAATATAAACGTGGGTGCTTTATTTATAAAATAGGTGTTTGTCAAAATAAAAAAATAATAATAATAAATAAAAATATTTGGGAGGAATAAAATACTTTAAAAACGTTAGTGCATAGGTGATAAGAAATTAATGAATTAGTAATGATTAAATTATTAAATTTATGTAACTCTTAAATTGAAATTTAATATACATATAAAAAAACCTGACTGAGGATGTGTACCTCTCAACTCTAAATTTAATAAAGATTCTTTTTTAATTTGATCGAATAATCTTTTCCAATTTTCGGAAAGATAAATAAGTATATATACAAAAATCTGAAATTGTTGGTATAAGTAACTGATTTTAAGGTTTTGCTTGAGCTATTGAACCCAGCAAGAACGTGCCCAGAAATATTTTTTTTGCAGGAAGTTTTGAAGATAAAATTATTCTATTCTTACTTACGGTTATTGATTATAATCAGAATATATTTCACAGAATTGTACATTTCTGCAGGGATATCTAAAAATGTGCCAAAGGATGGGGTGCCTGACCCACAAATGAAGAGTTTCTCTCGCAAATCAGCCCCTTGCTTCGGTTGACATATTCAAATTGACTGCACGGAGCTAGGCCTTTGTTGTTGTGCACTATACTTTTTCTCTTCTTTTTCCCTCACGTAGTCGGAGTCAAAGCAAACTCACACACAAAGAGTTCGCGCGGCAGTCGTAACTGTCAGTTTAGAATTCACTTCTCGTGAGTGTTTCTCTTTTCTATAATGGTAGCCAGGGGAGTTTAACAAAGAACGAAAACAACGCCCCGCAGCAGCAGCTTTAAAGATTCAAACAAATGGCGCAACTTAAAAATACCCTGCACCTCTCCATCCATCCATCCAGCTCGGAAAACAAGCAGCAAGTCTGTGTTCCTCAGTCAGTTGCTCTCACACGCCGGCGACGCAAACACACGCACTTCGTTAAAAGCCATCAGCGTTATTAATGACTTCAAGGTGTTGCACTGCATTAGCATTAGCTGCGGTATATGAGCAAAAATATGCGCTCGGCGGACAAAGAGAGCGAAAAGAGGATTTTTCCTTCTTTGCTCTTTGTGTACAAGGAAAGGAAAAAAGTGGATGAAAGAAAATAACACTTCCCACAAGAAGGATTTATTTTTTATACATAAATATCATTTTCTATTCTTAAATCTAGAATAAAATAAAAATATTGTCAAACTTGAAGTTTTGCGACGGATTTGAACAAAATTTATTTTTAAATGCACAGTTGTGCTGATATGTCACAAAATGTGTATTTAATTATTTTTTTATTTTTCAAATCTTTCTTGGTTGAAATTCGGTTTCAAAAGCTTTCTAGTGTCATTTTTCGGACACAGAAGGTTGCAAAGCTATCCATTATTTTTCTTATTTTTAGAATTAGCATTCACTGCACTGGCCTTGGTGCGCGAAGTTGATGCCGTGCACGCAGCCGTTACTGGGGTGTACATGTCATGACACTCATTCAAATGATTCGTTATGCTTGCGCAGCTTGGGCTGGCTTTTGCAACTAAGTAAATTATTTAATTATTAAAATGCATACAAATAATTCAATTTTTCAATACCTTTAGTGATTTTTTGATCACTTTCAGCTGTCTTAAAATGTTAATTTGCAAATTATAACCATTCAAAATGTAAAGATTTATTTACAATGACGAGACCCCTTTGAATGCAATTAAAAAGCTTCCTGGATTCACCCTTGCACTTCCGTTTCAAGGTCTTCTCTTTTGCCAGCGATGCTTATGTAATCAAAATTTAAACGAGAAATTTAAAAAAAAATTAAATATAAATTCTTATATTCACCTTGAGTTTGGTCAAAACATTCGTTTACCACATTCAGAATGGAAGATTTTGCTTCAAAGTCACCTGTTTTCCCTTTTGCAATGTACTTTTTCAAAATGTCTTTCAAAACTACGTTGCCTTTTGAATCAAGCTATACATGTTTCATTTTTAATGCAAAACGTGGTTTATTTGGTAAATATTTTTTTACATACCATTCCAGATTTTTGAAAAACGCAATGCATAATACACTAAAAATTATAAAATAATTGGTTTTGAATACATGGTCAAATGTATAACTTTATTTCGTTGAGTAAGATGAACTTAAATGCAGTGTTTCAATGAATTTTGTAATATTTCAGTGAGAAACGATTCGATCATAATCAGAAATCATAAAGAATACACATGGGGCAAATCTACACAGCAAGAATATTTAGTTAAAATTTCAATTAATATTAAGTTATGAGAAGTAATTATCCCGGGATAAATAAAAAATAAATTTATATCTTTTCTCTTAAACGGACATTCTAATTTTCAAAAATTCAGTTTCAGAGGGAAATCAAATCTCGGCTATGACAACTCAAATACAAATAATTGTTCAATGAAAATAGATTATCATAAAAAAAATAACTGACGAGGCTCTTTGAGATTACACAAGGGCAGACAAGGACAAGGATAATTCAATATTATTATGTTTTTTAATTATATCTCACATCTTCATCCCCTTGGCAGCTTGAAGTTTGAACTGTTCAATTACAACAAAATAATTTTTAAATTTTAGTTTAAAAATTAAAAAATCTATAATAAGCCATGTTTTTCACTTTTATTCTGTGTTTTGGTCTTGGCAGTCTGCAGATTTGCAGCTGGCTGGAATTGTTTCTGGCATTGCGAAATCAGCTCGTCGGGAAACACGGCAGTTCGGATTGTGTTAACACACTTGTGCGCCTCCTGGCGTTGGTTTCCTCTCCACGTTAGCAAACAGATTGACACAAGCAAACACTATGAAACTCACCGAGAGGAAAGCCTGATTGCACGCAACGTAATCCTTTGCCTATTAACAAGAGATTAAAAGGAGAACCAAATTTGAAATGTACAGATTGAACTTTTGCCTGGGCAAAAAATAAGCTCAGAACCAAGAGGACAAATATTTCTAGCAGTGCTGTCGAAAACGCCATTGTGCTAACTGACAATAAAGTGGTGATGCACAAACTACCGGGGAAATTCTTTTTAGCACACACGGTTTTTTTTATAGAAGTTCAGGCAAAACATCCGCTTCGCAGAAATCACTTTTTCGTTGTCTCATTTCCTAAAAGAGCAGGAAAACTTTGTCATTTGGAATTTCCAATTTTAGTGCGATTGTTAGAAAATCGCCGAGAACATTCGAGACAAAAATTTTGAAATGAAAGTTTGCAAAATCACATATAATTTTACAGTAATTTTAGTTGCCAATGATATTCATAATATTACAGAAGCAATCACTGCCCATATAAAGATATATTGAGCATAATTTCAACAGTTATTCTGTTACATACATGTATTAAATTGTTTAAAAAAAACCTATAATTACACTGAATGAGCATGGCATTTAATTTGTCTTCAGCAATTTAAGTAGTGCTTTTTTTAAATGTTGATGTCTATAACACGAATAGTTCAAAAGTGTAACAAAATTTAAATTAATCATCATATTCATCATTCGACGTACTATACACTTTTTTTAAAGCGAAAAAGAAATTAACTTTGGGTGGAAAAAGCAAATTGCGTGAATCTTTTTTTTTCTGTTTACTTACCAACTATATGAATCAATATGAGTATATTCAAGTTTGTGAGGGTTAAATTTAATTTAATCCCATAACGGAAAATAAATTCTTAAATGATTTAAAAAGTTGTTATACTGTACTTTATCTTTACGGATCGTTGCAAAATTCGGTGATTGCAATTATAGTGTTAAAATTATTATATTTTAATCTTCATGCAAAATATACTTTAGCACGAGGAAATTTAGAAGAAAAAAAACTGACAACAAAGGTTCAAATGAAACAACAGAAGATTGAACTACTTTCCTAACAAGTTTTCCTCTATTGAGCATGTAAACCACCTACACACGTATTTTTCCATTATCTTCAGCATATAACAACCACCGTGAGCTAATGCCTTTCACGTGCGCAAAAAGCACTTTGCCACTTTGCGTAATGAGCAAAAGTGCAGAGAGCGTCATTCCAGAGCTCCACAACGATAATAACCGTCTGTTTTGGATGCATTACAAGTTCATTTGCGAAATGCAATGCCGTTCGCTCGTAAGCCGCGAGACGCACTTTACGTGCACGCGTTCTACTTTACGAGCAGCGTAAATTTCACTCACCTCACGCGGGCCGCGATAATGGCAATAATAATAATAATAATAATATGACGCGATGCACCCACGGCGCTAATGTAAAATGCAAACGACATTGCGGCGGCCGTAAACTTTTGGATTCGCATTATTCTGTGCAAAGGGCGACGCACGCGATCATATCTTGTGAAATAATTCACGCGCGTCTCTCTCCAAGGGCGCTCCACTGGGGAAAACAAAACGCACACACACCACCAACATGGTGTGACTCTTGTAAATAATTAACCGCGCAATCAAATGTACATAATGATCGGTGTACGTATAAAGAGAAGAGTGAACGCAAGTACCAGCACAACAGAGAACACTTAAATTTGAGTTGATGAGAGATGAGAACTATCTACTGCACTTTAGGGGAAGTGTGACAAATCCATTTTGTGTGTAATATTTAATCTATTAAAAAATATTTATTTATACTAAACATAAAACTTTTTGGTATTTTTACTGTAATTTAATAATTATACAAATGCTTAATTTTTATAATTTATTCTAATAATTTATTTTAGTTTATCATATTTATATTGCTTTTTTTATAAATTTGCGTGCATTACTTAGAAATTTCTCATGAACAGCTACAATAATATTTTTTAACTATTATATTAATTTGGTTTTGGGTCACCATGAAATTCACGCATGAAACATTATGTATGTACCGAACATTAAAATTGCCGCTTTGACATGCCGATAGTAGCGCCATCTATAGGGTCAAATATATTTTCCTCTCAAGGGCAAAAAGCAATATATGGCAGAGGCGGGAATGTCAACAATAAAGTGACATGAATATCGAAATGGAAATAGAAAATAGGGCAATATCTGGAAGAAAAAATAGGTCTTCAAGCCTACCTGGGCATTTAGCTCACTTTTATGCATTTGTCGGCAAAAAGCGGATGTCCTTCGTCGTCTCATTTCGGCAAAACAGGGCACCAAACAACACAAGGATGTGGATCTCGCCATCACCATTTTAGTGCTCTCATCAACTGGGGACTGGGGAGTTGGTCGTTGGTCAAGTTGGTGAGTGGTGAGCTTCACCAACTTGCTCACACTCGCCAGTCTCACCACCGAGGAACATTCCTCCCGCTGGCTGGTGGCTGCTGCTGTTTGGCGCTTCGACGAGACCGAACAGGTCAGCACGGGGATAAGAGACGATTCACGATTTCACGCCGAGAGAAAGAGAAAAAGTGAAAAAGATGCCGCTCCATTTATTGGCTGCGCTGGTTTTAACCACCAGCCAGCAGGAATAGCAGGATGGAGGGAGAGTTTGCAGTTACATAATTTCAGTGCAACTCATGTGCAAAGATAACAAAGTCATCTCTCGATGCCGATTGTGAGCCGATGGAGGATTCCGCCGACCTGCCGAGGACCCCCAATGGACCAGAGAATCTCGCCTCGCCATGCCGCCAAGGTAGGGCAAAACCACGCAATTAATTATATGCATCGCGCAGGACTCACTTATTCGGGGAAAATCCCGACTCGAGAGCGATAGCCACTCACATCAATGAAACTTTTGATCATTGTGTGCGCCTATCTTCTGCTTTGTTAATGGAGTCCAGAAGTCGTGCGAAAACGCAAATAATTCTACTGCTTGACATGCAGCAGCAAATTTATAAATCTTCAGAATGATTGTCAAACAGAACGTAAACATTTTTTTATTTTGCTATTCTGCGCGTATATCCTATGCTGGCCTCGTGGCTGCTGTGAGTAATGCAACGAGTTTTTGGAATTTTGGGATTAAAAACGGAATCAATGTCGACTTTATTTTTTCTTCTGCAATAAATTGAAATGAACAATAATATTAAATATTTCAAACAAAATCATTTTTTGTATGGACAAATCGAATTCAAATTGTCAGATTTACAGAGCACCGGGGTTACGTTGGAAACGTCAGAGTCGAAGATCAATTTTGACTCTGTACAAGTAATTATTACTATTTATCAATATTTTAATCAGAAGAAAGTCACTGAACTTTGAATCATATTTTAATAAAGGCTCATTTAAAAAAATCATATAAACGTTCCTGTGTGCTATATTTCCATGTACAATAAAAGTTCTGTCATACACAAATAATAAATGGAGCTATCTTTGAGGAAATAATAAATATTGAGAACAAAATAAAATTAATGTCGAAATAATATACAATCATTAAATTCCAATGAAATATGTTTTAAACTGTCTACTTTTTATACTTTAAAGCGTTATCCTAGTATTTGTTTAACCATCAAATAACAAGCATTCCAATAATTAATTTATATGCTTAGGAATTTATTTAAGTGCAATAAATGAGAAATTAAAATTTGCATTTCAGAGAACATAGTTGTTATTATTGTTTAACAAAGATGATTAGAATAGCCTGTTCAAAATGAAAAATTATGCCTCGGTAAACAAAAAACGCATTCATATTAATTGATCAAGTTTTAGTTAGCAATCCACAATTTGATGGTGGTAAGCAATTTGAAACAGTCATGCGAAACTTAGTTATCTGAGATAATCTCGTTGGCGACGAATTAACCTGTGTAGGTTTTAGCACTGCCCTAATTCGCAGGCTCGTCGTTCCGCCCTAGCTCTCTTTGCAGGCCGTCCTTGAGTTGCCATAAAGCAGGAGTGCTTTATTAAATTTCTAATTAAGCCAATGCACACTCACATAGCTCAAGCCGGCGTGTAGAGGTGAATGGGGTCGAGATTGCATTGCGCACAATTAACATGCAAATCATTTCTCTCCGAGGGACACGCTCTCCTCTCTCTCGACGACGCTGCCGAAAAGTCAAATTAGACACGCCAAAGTGCTCGCCCGCTCGCGGTTCGCTCTGCTCTCTCAACCTAAAAGTGTCCGCAAACTTGACTTTATGAAAATGGCTTCTCGATCCAGCGCCTCGACTGCAAAAGAAGAAACTCTCTTTCTCAAAAGCATTATCTCGTCGCAGGGGCAAAGGAAATAAAGAGCGTATGTACGCGAGTGGTTGGCACACTTTTCTTTTGAAACTAATTTTTAGCTTTTGCGTTTGGTCTCGCGCAGGAGCAGTTTTTTAATTAAAGTCTCTGCCACCTTTTTTAATGCTCAAGTTTCTTTCAAGCTGCGAAGGAAAGAGGGAATATTAAAAGGCCAGCTGCACTTAAAAAAACTGGGTTAATTTGAAACTTTTAAAAACTCGTAATAGTGCACTTTTTAATTTTAAAAAAAAAACGGCGACTTTGAGTGTGTATTGAAATATACAAAGGTAATTGAATTTTTTTTTTAATATTAAAAAATTTTGAGGGCGATCCAAAAGCCTTCTCTAGACCAGTCTATCCCGCCAGCAGGCTATTAAAATGGGGGGAATGCATAAGCCAGGTGGGGCTTTCATATCCTATATTATTTTAAAGTATAGAAACCTTTATACATACATGTTTTAGGACTAACCAAAATTTCCAACTATAGAGAATATAAAATGCTTTATATCGAATCAAAACATTTTTGTTTTGTAAAATTTTATAATTTTTCAAAGATCACTGAGGAAATCTTTATGGAGACAAAATAGTCAATTATTGTTTCCCTCACATTTATTTTTCTCAGATTATGAACTAGTCAAATTAAATACTCCTCAAGTAATTTCCGAAATTCGGCACTAACTTGAGTTTTCAGTATGGAAATTGTACCTCCTGCA